AAAGAGATTCCCGTACACTGAACGGTTTCCTACATCTACATGCAATGTATCTGTGCAAAGTGGGTTTTATTTTTTTCTAATATTCTCTCCCCCACCACCACAAACCACAAACCACAAACCACTGTGGCTCATGGGTTTTCTTTTTCTCTTTATTTTATTTTCCTTAAATATTTCTCTCTATTCATATCAAAAGATTGTTTCATTTATTTTTCTTTTATTCATCATTATTATATATAAATAAATTATGTTGATTTTAAGTTTTAACTCTCTTTTTTTGTCTTTTGAACAATGGCATGTGAAATATAGGAGGTTAAATACTTATATGATGTGAATTTTTATAACATCTTCTTTTAAAAAAAAAAAAAAAAAGAGAATAAAAAATATTTAAGGGTTTGTTACTTATTATTTTTACGAAAGTTTATATGGGAAATGATGAAATGATTTTTTATTTATCATTCTTGTATAATTTTAAAATATAATTTTTTGCATTTTTTATAATCTTGAAGAAAAAATATATTGACCTAATCATTTAACACATAATTGTTTTAGTTTAACAAATGTTTTTGAATTATAAGTTTGTATTGGTATTAAATAAGTTAAAAGAATAAGATTTGTGTTTCTTGTGGAAGATTTTTTTTTTATATAAAAAGATAGAGAGAAAAAATTTATTTATTCTAGAAATAAGTTTTGATATTTATTGTATTATATATTAAATTTTAATAATTTAATTACTGAATTAAGAATTTTTAATATATATAAATAAGTATGAAAATTAAAAAAAAATAAAAATCATATAATATTTTATTATATAAATTTAAATTAATATATAAAATATTTTTATAATTATTCATCAATCTATATATCTGTAAAATTTTAATATATCATAATAATATAGCATTGATAACGCATTACATAATATTATTGTGCTTATGTTTTAATTCTAATACTTACACAATTCATACCTTTTATTTGTTAATTATTTGAATAGTTTTTTTTTAATGTTTTAGTCTTGATCAATATCTTTCCTCTTCCTTCTTTTTACTTTTTTTTTCCTCTCTCCATTTTGTTATCTTCACTTTTTTTTTTCTTTTTCAACATTTATCTCCTCTTATTATGCGATTTCTACTTTTCTTTTAAATCTTATTGCATTAACTAAATTGATCATAAATCAAAAAATTACAAAATTGTAAAGTTTAGACGTATGTCATAAATAAGGTGAGATAGTTTGCAAATAACAAATTTTGTGGGCACTTCTTGCAGTAGCAATGACTTGCTTCATGGTTTCAATCTTATTGCATAAAACACTTAAGAGATATACAATGTTGAAGGAGCAAATGCTTAAAGATATAAAATCATCAAATCTTTATTGCATCATTTTGATCTTGTTATGTCAAAAGCTTGAATATCTATGTCAATACTATATGAGAAAAAAAAAAAAAAAAAGAGAATAAAAAATATTTAAGGGTTTGTTACTTATTATTTTTACGAAAGTTTATATGGGAAATGATGAAATGATTTTTTATTTATCATTCTTGTATAATTTTAAAATATAATTTTTTGCATTTTTTATAATCTTGAAGAAAAAATATATTGACCTAATCATTTAACACATAATTGTTTTAGTTTAACAAATGTTTTTGAATTATAAGTTTGTATTGGTATTAAATAAGTTAAAAGAATAAGATTTGTGTTTCTTGTGGAAGATTTTTTTTTTATATAAAAAGATAGAGAGAAAAAATTTATTTATTCTAGAAATAAGTTTTGATATTTATTGTATTATATATTAAATTTTAATAATTTAATTACTGAATTAAGAATTTTTAATATATATAAATAAGTATGAAAATTAAAAAAAAATAAAAATCATATAATATTTTATTATATAAATTTAAATTAATATATAAAATATTTTTATAATTATTCATCAATCTATATATCTGTAAAATTTTAATATATCATAATAATATAGCATTGATAACGCATTACATAATATTATTGTGCTTATGTTTTAATTCTAATACTTACACAATTCATACCTTTTATTTGTTAATTATTTGAATAGTTTTTTTTTAATGTTTTAGTCTTGATCAATATCTTTCCTCTTCCTTCTTTTTACTTTTTTTTTCCTCTCTCCATTTTGTTATCTTCACTTTTTTTTTTCTTTTTCAACATTTATCTCCTCTTATTATGCGATTTCTACTTTTCTTTTAAATCTTATTGCATTAACTAAATTGATCATAAATCAAAAAATTACAAAATTGTAAAGTTTAGACGTATGTCATAAATAAGGTGAGATAGTTTGCAAATAACAAATTTTGTGGGCACTTCTTGCAGTAGCAATGACTTGCTTCATGGTTTCAATCTTATTGCATAAAACACTTAAGAGATATACAATGTTGAAGGAGCAAATGCTTAAAGATATAAAATCATCAAATCTTTATTGCATCATTTTGATCTTGTTATGTCAAAAGCTTGAATATCTATGTCAATACTATATGAGCAATTTTCTATGTTTTAGTTACAATGCTATTTTTTAGACCACTAAAGTTAGCTTAGTAATTGGGTGGAGAGGGATTAAGGTAGTTAGAAGCATGAGAACTTAGATTCAATCTTTAGTGCGATCATCTTTGTAATCTTTCCTATTTTTAAAAAAAAAGTTACAATACTATTTTTTTTAGTTAATCATTCATACACTGTCAATGTAAAGTTTTTTACACTTACAACCAATCATATTTTTAAAATTATTGTATTTTATTTTTAGTTCATTAAATAAGCAAATGACATGACACTATTAAAAGATATGATTGGTTGTCAGTGTAAAAAAAATTTACATTGACAGTGTATAGGTGATTAACTTTTTTTTTTATATGATTGTATGAAAATGTTTCCACCATGCATCATCACCAAAGACCATTTTTGGCATTAAATCCGTTTCTTCCATTCCTTCTTTCTTTTTCTCTATTTTTCTTCTTCATTCTTTCTCTTCCCTTTTTCTTCTTCATTCTTCACCTCTCCCTTTCTTTCTGTCTCCATAGAAACTAACTAACCTGCAACTTCATATTAATAATCATGCATCCTTCTTCATAGAAACTAACTAACCCGCAACCAAAAGTTAAAATAGTGTAGCAAGTTACCATCGATATAAAGAGTGCTCACATATAATATTACTCTTTTTCTTAGTAGTTAAATATTGTCGTTGGAATTTAGGAAAGATGGAGGAGAGAGTCAAATCTAACTTTTAACACTCCTAAAATACGTTAAATATTTGGTATAATTACAATACTCTATAGATTACACGTGCGTTTAAGTCAAAATAAAAAAAAAACTTAATAAAAAATTGTTGAAAAGAAAGAAACATTTTTTAAGACAACAATTTTGGTGTAATTTTTAGACTATTTTACTCTTAAATTTTAAATAATATCAAATTTTAACTATTGTAACGACCCGGCTGGTCACTACACACTACACAGTACACCTGAAAACCGGACAGAAAGGAACAAGTGTATATATATAGTGTCTAGAATATACATATATACATGGCCCAAGTCTGACTAGATTCAAATGTACAAAATACATCAATCGCTACTACACCTAGTAGCTAAAACACCAAAACATCCACAGAATCAAGCTCTATCTGCCAGCTGCAGACCTGCCGTAAGCCACCAACCTATCCCTGCTCTGCTCCCATACATAGTATGATCATCGCAGTCCAAACCACATGGAAACAACAAGGGTAAGCTAGTGAAAAGAAACAACATACAAATATATAAATTTAAGAATAGTAAACAGCTACCTCTATCCGAACATCAATTAGCAACAACAACCGTAAACAACAGTACACATCGATAAATAGTAGTAAACACACAATGCGTCGTCACGCATATCAGCTCGGAGATCTCCTACCACAGCTTAGCCTTACGGCCTACAACAGCTCCTATCAGCACGGAGCACAGCACCGACTTAGCGGCTATAACAGCACCACAATAGTGGCTAACAGCACCGACATAGCGGCTATAACAGCACCACAATAGTGGCTAAACACAGCATACCGCTCAGCAATAAACAGCACAGCAAAACAGCTCACAGCACAGCACAACACCAAAATCAGCATACAGCACAGCTAAGTAGTATTCAACACAGCTTACTACTCACAACTCGGCTCATCATTCTAGAGCACAACCATATTATAAATCAGCATTTAAAATCATCAATAACAGCCCAGCTCAGCATAGCGAGATACATCTATTACAGCTTAACATCATTTTTCAGCATTTACATCTAGTCAGCACAACATATTTATCAATTACATCTCAGCTCAGCAATTACAGCATAATTCAACAACTATCAGCATATAATTCAGCTCGACTCAAACAATAAAGTTTAGCATTAGCATCACATATCACAACTCAGCGTTACATCATTAACAACATACCGCACAACACAACTTTTCATCACACGGCATTGGCAACATTAATCAGCATAAACAACATTCAGCACAGCTCATCTTAATAGTACAGCCTATCGTCTTACAGCACTTCTAAGCATCTTACAGCAATATACACCTAACACAGCTCAACATCCTCAAACAGCAATTTCAGCTAGTCATCACATCATATTCCTCAATTTCGGCTTAGTTCAGCATAAAA